ATACTCTTAGGCTGCTGCCTCGAATTTTGCGGGTAGCGGGGCGGCAGCGGCGGCGGCGCGGGAGCGGCAGGATCTTATGCGTAAAATCAAATGGACCGGTTCTCGAAAACAGCGGCGTGGCAGCGGCGCGAGGGCGGGTAACGAGAGGTGCAATCGCCTGCTCCCGCGCCGCAGCCGCCGCCGCCCCGCTGCCCGCAAAATTCGAGGCAGCAGCCTTACTTTAAACAATTAGAGCTAGAATGTCACAGAGAAGATACGGGACTGAAGTCGATTCCACAGTTCGCTAGTTTGCAAAAGGACTTCCAGCCATCAAGGTGATGTGGATAAAATTTAGAGTTAATACGGCTCGTGTTGAAACGATGTTTGGGATCAATCAAAAAACTCTTCAAAATACTCTCCACAACACACTTTGTAGAATACGCAATGTCTCTGCGTAGAGAGAGAATTAAGCAGATCAGTACGTTGGAGATTGGCAATTCGACAAGCGCTTCGCTGAATTTGGTCAACAGGAAGTAGCTGGTATTTGGGAGCACCGGCCCAGAGATGTGAGCAGTATTCCATATGAGGTCGTACATGGGCCTAAAACGCTGTAAAAATGCTAGCAATAGACATAAAAAACAATTAAGAGAAAATGCGTCGAGACTTAAGTAAAAATCATATTTGATTTGATATACTGTCTTGTCTAAGAATCTTACATTGCCCAAAGTAAGATTTCAATCGGAAAATTTCATTTGAGTACTGTGGTGGAAATCAAATCGGCGCCACTGTTTCGAAAAATTCGACTAATTGCCGAGGTTAGTATTATTATATATACTTATTTAAAATATAATATATCATGCAAATATTAAAATAATAACTCCCATTTATCTGTTATTAATATTAGGGTAGAAACTACGAGTGGTTTAATCAAATGAAAATCCACGAAGACGCCACGACAGTAAATACAATTCTTTATCGTGGTTTCAATTAATCTAACTAGATGGCGCTGCAATCAAATTGTAACGTTTAATATCTCTATACTCGACTTTTAATGTAATTCAGATCCGTGTTATGAGAATAATTGGAGTCTCCATACAAGTTGTAAACTACGCTTAAAGGACATACAAATGTTTACTTTACTCATGATTCCAAATCAAATCGCGTTAAAGAAGTGTTATTTAAATATGAAGTAATTACTAATCCAGTGGCGCTACAACAATGCCTCTTATACACCCAAGTATCAGCCTACTGTGTCTAATATCGAGTTTTGAGTTTGAGATGCGTATCACAATACGCTAATTGGGCACATAAAGTCAAAGTCAAAGTCAAATCGTTTATTTCAATTAGACCATCTAAAATAGCACTTTTGAACGTCAAAAAAAAAAATATAAAGATGATTCTAGTTGCCCCTTCCAAAAGGTAGTTTCGTGTGGAGAAGAATGGGCAAGAAACTCCACACTTACTCTTTTAAAATAGGTTTACAATATTTTGTTACATTTGTTAAATAATTATATGTGAAGACAATGTACTCTTAGAATAAACTACTAAAAAAGTTAGTATACATGTTCCTCACATATTTACAAATATCGAAACCTTAGAATATTAACATTAAAGAGTAATAAAAATATTAAAAAAACACAACAAAACAGTGTGTGAGATACAAAAAAAAAATAATTACATTTGTAGCATTATATAAATTAAAAAATAATAATAATAATAACAAAAATTAACATATTTTTTTTTAGCAAAAAATCAGCAACCAATTTGATTTTGTCCAGGCTATAGAGCCAATCATAGGATTGTCCTATGGAGCAGGACCAGCATGTTTCCAAGCATTCTTATCTTGAATATAATCATCTAATTTGTAATATCGTCGCTTAGCTAACAATACCGCACAAGTCATATTTTAGCCAAATGACGTTTTTTACACCATTCGATAGATTACTTTCCTGCGCGTCTAATGAGCTCTCGCTAGAGGTAATATCGTCCAATAAGAGCGCGTTATTCAAAAACTAGTAACACAACACAACTCATTGGCTGCGCTAACACCGCGCAAGTCATCATAACGCCATAGTAATTTGGCCGTGCCACGCCGCACCTTATAAGATCGTTTGTCGTTTTTAAAAAAGCGGATTTTTTGTAACGGACTGGCCCCACTGATGTAGTTTAAAGGTGAGGTAACTTAAATAAAACATAGTATTCATATTTTATCTATTAAAATACGTCATACGATTGCAATTAAAAAGTTATGGTTGATAACGACAGATTGTGCTATGCCACCGCCTTCTGAGATTTCTCGGAATGTAGATTGCTCCAAAAAGAACTCTGATGGTCACGAGCGTCTACAGCAATTTTTAGATAGCCTGCCGAAGATGCCATCGTCTACTGTCGAGCAAACTCATCCAGACAATACCTAGAACCAGTATTTCATACCATGGCACAATTATACAAAGAATACGTCAGTAAATGCGAATCAGATTCCTTAAAATGTCTTAGTCGTAGGGTTTTTGACAATGTATTCTTAAAACAGAATCTTAGTCATTTTCATCCCAAAAAAGATCAATGCGATGTATGCTGTGGTCATAAAGTTGGAAATATAATCGATACTGAAATTGCAATACATCGCGATAGGAAAGACAAAGCTAGAAAAGAAAAAGACACTGACAAAAAATTGGCAATAGAAGGAAAAACGTCTCATGTATTTACGCAAGATGTTCAATCAGTAAAATTTGCTCCCTACCTTCAGGCTAGTGCCATATACTACAAGACATTTTATCTGTTCACAATTTTACCATGTACAATTTGTCAACACATGAAGCTTGCTGCTACTGGTTCGATGAATCAAATGGCTCCCTTGAAGCTTCTGTTTTCGCATCGTGCATTGTGGATCAACTACAGATAATTTTAAATAGAAAATTACTACCGGTAATATTGTATTCTGATGGCTGCTGTGCACAAAATCGAAATTCCATCTTAAGCAATGCTCTTCTGCGTTTATCCATCGATAAAAAAGTTAAAATAACTCAAAACATCTTAGAAAAAGGTCACACGCAGATGGAATGCGACTCTGTGCACAGTGCCATCGAATGTAGATTAAAGGGAAAAGAAATTTACCTTCCTTCCCAGTATGCGAATATAACAAAGACAGCTAGAGATAACCCAATGCCATATGAGTCTCGATTATTAGAATTCTCTTTTTTTACCAATTTCAGTAAGGATTTAATTTACAAAACCATTCGTCCGGGCAGAAAATTCGGAGATCCCACTATTACCGATTTAAGGGTATTAAAATATAAACCAGATGGAACTATTTGGTATAACTTTGACGAACCTTTGCAGCCGTTGCCTCAGCGTCCAATGAAAATTACCAATGTAAAACCTTTAGAAGAGCTGCCGAAATTATTTTCTGAAAGACTGCCAATTTCCCAAAGAAAATATAAGGATCTCCAAGATTTAAAGGCAGTGATACCTTCGAACTGCCACGCATATTATCATGAGTTACCTTATAAAAATTAAATATTTTTCATCCATAAACATTTTGTATTATTTTTAGAAGTAGGTTAAGTATTCGAAGTGTTCTTATTGTCTTATATTGTTTGTGTTAAATGTACCATTTTATTAAAGTTTTGAGAGTTTAGAATTATTAGAAGTTATGGAAAAAATTACCTAAATTACAAAGCAAACCACCTCTGGTTTCCATTGTAACTTAGATAATTTTATTGATCTCAGTAGGTAAGTAGTTGATCTCGTCAAACAGTACAGTCGTAAAAGTCAGTGAGTTCCTATAATATATTATAATATTAGCGAACCCGGCAAGGGTTGTCCTGTTGGAATAAGAAAATAAAACGGCAAAGAAATGTGTTTTTTTTTTTTTTGATAAAAAGCTAATTTAGCAATCTTTTTTTATTTTATTGAAGTTAATAATTAGTTTTATAAAACTGTTTTTGAAAAATGTTTTTATTTCGATAGTTTTTCATAGAAAATTTTCTATGAAAGACTTATAGAGCTTAAATATAAAAGGTAAAAACACCGCGTAAGTCTTTATTTTGTTAGAGTAAAACTGCTCAAGTCTTGAAAATGACCTAATAAGACGATATTTCTTTTATTTGTTTTTATAGTTATCATGCTTAACTAAATACAATATATTAAAATTTTTATCATGCATGTATTGTACAAAATGTTAAAGTAATACAGTTTTTTGTCTCTCCTGAAAACTAAGCAAATCTGACTTATGCGGTATTGTTAGCTAAGCGACGATATGCTTGTTTACAAAGTGTACTTTTAATAAAACATTTAAATTTTCGTTCATTTAGTTTTAAAATGTCACAAGGTATTTTATTGTAACATTTCACACAGTACCCCATAAATGAATTTTGAACTTTGGCTAATCTGAAAGATGGTTGAGCTATTTTATCTTTATTTCTAGTACTAAAATTATGTCTTTCATTTATTTTACTAAAAAGATGTAGATTCTTTCTTACATACATAATATTTTCATAAATGAATTGGCAAAAAGAAATATAAAGAAAAATTAAATTAGCGTACATTGTGATTTAAATTTACTATGGTCTACCACTTGCAACAACTTTTTTTAGATTCTACCCTCATTTAGTTTTATAACCAATAAAAATATAACCCGAATAAACATCTAATGACAAACAACTTAACCAATTTGTTAAAGACACTGGAAGGGACTAGCGCTTAAGATACAGGCTAGGCCTAGTTTAAACGCTAGTGCACATAGAATTATTTTATGTACGAGTAACCTCGTACATAAAATAATTCTATACCATCTCTCGTACCAAAATTAATAGTGAGAACACAACTATTCATTGCATATTGTATATATCCTTTAGAATGTAAGTACAAAATGTAATTGTTTTTTCGTCAAATAAAGTGATTTTTATTTTATTTAAATACACGACCTCAGGGATGAGGGTCACACGCTTAAGACATTAGGCCATATTTAAAATAATATGAAGTAGGTAATCAAGCAAAAATACTTAAAATGAAAAAAATATTTATTTTTTTATAAAACTTGTAACATAGTTTTTGGCAGTGTAGGTAAGAACTCCTAAGGAGCAAACAGCTAAAATTTCAGTAAGGTATCCAAATGCGATGTCTTTGGTTGACTTCTCTTTGATCAGATCAGCTGGTTTAGGATTATTCTTACTAATCTGTAAAAAAAAAAGATGTTACAGGACCATGAGTTAAAAATAAAGTTATGTATTATATATGTATATGATAATACAATGGACGCTAATTGGTAGCCATAATATCTGCGCACACACATTAATTAAGGTATTTTTTTCTAACAATACTATTAAACTCAAACTCAAAATAACTTTATTCATGTAGGTAAGCAAGTACACTTATGAACGTCAACAGCAAAGATGTTAAATTAATTCTAAATTTACGCATACTACCAGTTCGCAAGTTAAGGGCGTAGAGCGGCCAGAAGAACTGACAAGAAACTCTCCGCCACTCTTTTTAAGCCTTTTATTATTTTTCCTGAAGTATCATGCACCTATTAGTCATCCTGTATAATTTCATAATAAGGGTTTGTCTGTCTTTGCATATAAAATACCTTTGTATGAATCCCTTTCATAGCTTTGATCTCTCGTCTAATACTGTTGATATTTCCCAAGATTTTCTTAACACCGACTTGCATCTGTCTAGTAATGGGCGAATCTGGTGGTTCAAATTTAATCTGATTTTGGATCCGACAGTAATCACGTAGAACATACTGTAATGTCGCTTCCAATATATATATTTGTTGTAAATGACTTCCTAATATTGACAGGCAATCGACGACACTGAAAATATATACGATTTAATTAATAATAATTTATTTGCAAGAATGTGTTACAATCTAAAGTTCACATATTATGCCACACATAATAAGCGTCCAAATTTGTCTTATTAATATAATAAAAAGGTAGAATTTTACATATTAGTTAGATATTACATTACATTATCAATCATAATATGCATACAGGGTGTCCCAAGACTTAAGGAAAAGTATCTTAAATATATTTTTATTTTATTTTAAAAAGTAAGTATTACTGCATTCAATGATTTTCTAAAAATTAGTTCTGAACCTTTGAAATTACTTTTGATGTCAATCAAGAGAAAGAACAACAAATAATAATTTTTCTTAAGTAACATAGAATTTTTAAAGTAAAGAACAACGTGAAGTTAATTCTCTTATATATTGATATAATCAATTTATTTCGATAGTTAGGTCTAACTACTGTGGGCATACTTTCTGGTCGTATGTTTCTGTCTATGTCTAGTGACATGTATTTTAAAAAATGAATCCCAAAAGAGTTACAGAAATCTTTGGCCAAGATCCAAGCTTGTAGCGCCACTGATTTTTAAATTTATTTATTTTATTTTATTTGGTTTACATTGATTATCAAATATGAGTGAAAACTCGGTAAAATGGACCGACAAAGAGCATTTTATCCGTCGCCAAAAATGGATTGTCGTCGTAGGGTTTGGTTTTTGGGATGCAGATAGGAGATCTATCGACTAGTCAGGGTCTGATTGAAAACAATCTGAGATTGTGGATTGATTATTGGGTTCGGGCGTTAGTCAATACAGATAATAAACTAACTTATAATTATCTCCTTTGTTAACATGAAGTCCGGCAACTGTATTCAATTTCCATGATTTTGTATGAAATGCTCTGAGTCCATATTTCAGTCTTTGCCTTTCAAATGGCATGTCAATTCCCAGTTCTCTCATACCATCATCTTCTAGAAGTAGAAAGCTTCTCAAATCGACATTATTTTTTATAATGACACCACTTAATCTTTCACAATTCATACCATATAAAAGATGTGATATTTCATTGGTGTATTTTGGTCTGAAAAAAATAATTGCTTTTATATATTATTTAAATAGAAAATATTGTTTTTTATATATATTGAAGTTATACTTCTGGCGCGTCAGGGAAAAATGATGAGAGTAATTTTTTTACGATGCACGCACACCGTCACAAAAAACCGACACCCTGAAGTTAGCTATAGTCAACATTTTACTAAACGTTATATTCGTGACGTTTTTTATATACAAACGTAGAATACAATTTTTGAAAAGATTTTTATCTTGTTGCGCCAAAGAAGTATAACTTCTAACGCGTGTACATTATACACATACGTTTTTATTTTTTAAATGGAATATCAGTTCTGATATTTCTAAGTTGTTGAAACTCAACCAAAATTTTAAGTGACTTTCTAATCAACAGTCAAATTAATTTTAAAATTAAACTGACAGTTGAACAACACAGTAAGTGAATTGCTATTTTAAGGCCGGCAACGCACTTGCGAGCCTTCTGGCAATGTGAGAGTCCATGGGCGGCGTATCACTTAAAATCAGGTGAGCCTCCTTCCCGTTTGCCTCCTATCACATAGAAAAAAAAATGGGTGCGTGTACTTATGTACGCGCGTAAGAAGTTATACTTCTTTGGCATTATTAAAAATAGTTTTTGATTGCATGCAAATAATTAATTACAATTAAATAATCAAAGACTGGAAAAGGAGTCATTAAAGTCAATAAAGTTCAGTTTACATTTGAAAAAATAAATAAATAAATATTTATTATTATTCTCTTACATTAAGTGTAACATAAATTCTACTATTATTCCAATGTTGTTTTTAAATTATGTCCAATGCCGTAGCATCTTCCGTGGACAACTTAATTCTGTTAATTTTGTGTCACGGTGCGCGCGCATCGTAAAATTTCACTCTCATCAATTTTTACATAACGCGCCTAAAGAAGTATAACTTCAAACCAGAGATACTAAATGAGATGTGATGATGATGTTTATATTACTCTAGCAGTCTATATCACAAGACTGGCTTTTTTAATATTATGGAAATTAAATTTATATAGTGATAATATGGCATTTTAATGGTGAAATTTGTTTGTTTAAAGAAATCTTTACTCTTTATAACATTAGTGTATTGGGAATAAAACACCGTTTATGTATGCTTCTCTATTAAACTATAAAGGTGACAAGGAAATAAATAAAATACCTTTCATCGCTATTCATTCCCGGATAATAATCTTGCCAAGTGGTCAATTCATTTATATCTTGTTCGTAAATGTCTTCGTCTTCCATTACAAAATATTTGTTAAGCATTTCTATAATCTCTGGATATCCGTGAGATTGTGCTATATCCATAACAGTTCTCCCGTTCATATCCACTTCTTTAACTCTCGCGCCTTTTTCTATTAGAATTTCTAGAATTTTAGCTTGATTGTGATGTGAAGCCCAGAAAAGTGCCTGAAACATTCAAAATTCATTGATTTCTCTATAAACCCTGTAAAACAATGCTTTGAGGATGTTCCCGAGTCTGCTATGACATGGTAAACGTTACTTAATGCACCAAATGAATTTCTTTGTCTGAACTACAGTTAGGGCGAATTTTTACTATATATAAACAGGTTAACTATGAATAAATAACTGAAAACGAAATTATAACATTTTAAATGTAAGCTATTCTACGGATTTTTGTGTACAAAAATAATAATTTATGAATACACAAATCACTTAAGTTATTTACCGTTTAAAAAAGGCCTTAGAAGCCAGTACATTCTGTTTTTGACGACCATAACCACAAATATAACTTAATAATAAAACATCCGGGGTTAGATTCCTAGCAAAACAATGTTTTAGACGTATAATCTAAAATATAAATTTAAGTTTATATTATATACAGCGAAAGAACTCACAGTCCATCCTTGTCTATCTCGCATTTCAATATTTATATCCTTTGATAGTAGAAGTTGTACCACTGTCACTAAACCACTGCCAACAGCTCTCATTAACGGTGTTTGCCCATATTTATCACCAATATTCAGTAAACAATTGTGTGCAATTAAGTTATTTACTATATCATAAAATATGTCTTCACTTGCATTGGTATTCGAACATGCTACCATCACAGGTGTCACGGAATCTGTAAATTATTTTTATAAAATATTAATTGCGATTAAATGTCTTTAATAGCCCAATGCATTCAAAACTTTCGTTTTGTAAAAAACTACATTGTTGACCTAGATCTAATTTCAAACCCCAGCTCTGTAACACTGGACATTTATTTTTATGTGCGCATTCGGTTCTATGGTGAAGAATACATTGTGAGGAAACTGCCATACCTTAGAATTGGTGATGGCATATAGCAGCCACAGAAGGCTGAATTGTCGATTAGAAATTGATCACAAAACAGATACAGATTTATCTCTGAGGACAAGACCAAATTTTTAGAGCCACTGGTGAAAAAAAGGATAACTCATGTAAAGTCTTCTGGACTTTTACTGGTCAATGGCCTTTTACTTGATTAAAGAAAAATGATCAGGAAAAAAATTACCAGTTCACTGGTTAAAACTTTTAGCATATTATGCATGCAAAATCATACCTATCACAAAAAACTGTTTTCATGCTATAACTTGTTAATTTTAATACAGTCAAAACCGTTTACGACAACATAGTTTAGAACTTTAGAAACATACCGGTTATATTGACCAAAATCAAAGGTTCCGGCTGAATTCCATTGTATAAGGTACTTAATAACAACTATGAGTAGTCCCTTCAACATTGTTATAACAGATTTTGACTGTATTCATAACCAACATCGTACCACATCCATTCCATATCAGCTATTTATTTTATATTTGTCAAAATAAATATTTTTAGATATATTATTTGAAACTAAATTCATCATGTTAAATAAGTAAACTAATTTATTATGGTCTTACCTGAATGTAGATTTGGATCTGCACCTTTTTCAAGAAGATAATCAACAATTTTCTTTTGAGCATGAAAACAAGCATGCATGAGAGCTGTCCATCCGCTGTCCAGTTTAAAATTTACATTGTTTAACTCTGAAATTGATTTAAAAAAAAAATTAATAATGTTATTGGAATCACTATGGTCCAGTTATACCTGCTTAGTTATAAGGATGAATTTTAACATAAGAAAAAGAAACACAATATGTCTCCCCAGCATGTCATCACGCAACTGTGCATGTGCTTCTTATAACATAACTATTCAAATTGTTTTACTCACTACTACTACAGTCAAAACCGGTTACGAGGACATCGATAAGAACAACATACCGGTTATATTGACCAAAGTCAAAGGTACCGGCTGAATTTAATTGTATTAGGTTCTTAATACCAACATCATCGGCTGCTACAGCTATCAGTTTTTATGACCAAATATGAGTAGTTGCTTTAATGTTTTTATAACAGATCTTGACTGTACTAATAGAAAACTCACAACAAAATTTATTTATCTATGGTAAATGTCAGAACTTTGATATGCTTTGCTCCTTTATTTTGGCATAGACCCAACTTGTATTAATCTTTAATTACTATGTTGCTAATTATAAATAGAACTTACCAAGATCTATAATTTTCTCTACCTCTTTAAGGTCACCATTTATTATAGCTGCTTGTAATTTATTTTCAGTCTTTTTAACTGCATTCTCTTGAAAGGTGAAGTAGTTTTTACGTTTTTTCTGTAAGGATTACAATGTTTAAAAAACAACATACAAATTCAAAATTTGAATGATTGACAATCAATACTAGAATTTCAATCAAGATTTTCTTGATTAGTACCAATAATAAAAAGAGATTTTGTAATAGTTTAGCATAGCTAACTGCATATTTACCGGCTCATCATCAAATAAAAACTCGTCACTGTCTGTCTCTTCAGAAGTAAAACCTGTACCGTAATACATCACAAAATAATATTGTGTTAGAACTGAGAACCTGAAACACATTGAAAGTTTACAGAGTTTTAAATAATAATTAGTGTTATTCACAATTCAAGTATTATTATAATTTTATACACTCCATGGAGTATACCGCAATAAGATAAAGCACGCAATGTAAGAATTACCTGTGATCTGTAATATTAAATTTATATATTTTCTTCGTTTAAATTTTAAACATAAAAAATGCTATTTTCAATTTCAACTGTTGATCTTTAATGTTGACTGTTGACATAAACCACTGACACTTGACAGTTGAGATATAAGATTTCTAAATGACAGAGCAGTTTAATACTTTTTTACATGACCATGGATACAAATCTTTCAGTGGGGTCTGGGGACCAATAATACTCATTGTGAGTGGTATCAACTCTTGATAATGAAACTTAGTTGAAGGATCCAATTTCCAATACAAATGTTTAAATTAACCTTTATTGTAGTACAATTATTACTACAGTTACAGCTACAGTTTTTATTAACCACTAATACAAAGTAATAATAAAAATAATAGAAGACAGCACATCAGCACTACTGCCAAGGCTAGATCAACAACACCCATATTAATATATTATAGTTTTTAAATTATAAGAGTTCCTAAATAAAAATCATTAATTGGTAATTTTGTGCATAATATTGTCCCACATATTTTTACTTTTACAAACCAACATTCTATGAAAATGATGGACTTGAATCTTTGAAGTGTGGATCTCAAGCTTGGAACTCATTCTTTGCGTCGGAAGGATAATAGGCAACAGTTCCAATTAAGCGACTACGAGAGCGTTTGTTAACATTTAATTAACGTCAGGGAGCTATTGTGTCAGCGCCGAGCTTCAGGGCTGCCAAGCTTCGTCTGTTGCGTCTTGATGAACCCACAAGTCATCCCGTTCCGAATTGTTGTTGAAATTCCTGTACGTATACAAAAAATATCTCTTGTGCTGTATACATTGCTTGCTCGGTGATACTTTACATTGATTTGCTCGCATATAATGAAACAATGTATAGTTCATTAGGGAATTGTCGCGTTGGGGAGTTACGCGGACAAATCTTGTAGTCTCACAGGTGCCGCTTGCTAATGATGTGATGCCGTGGGGCACCTTCGGCGTTGACGTTAGGGACTCTCATTGGAACTTGTACAAGTATCCTTTGAAAGCTAACGGCTCGAGACTTTATTTTATTATTTTCATCTCGAGTATAATACAACAAAACCCTCTTCAATTATTGTACCGAAAATTTCACCCTATTTGGGACACAGTTATTCAATCGCATTTATGTCATTTTAAATAAAATATATATACATACTAGCAGATTCGGCCAAGCGTTGCTGTGGCTAAGGTTTTTGTTATATTACATAGTAGCAAAACCATTCAAAGGCAACGGCAGGAGAACAACAGTCATGGGGATCACCATGCTTTTTTGTTGGCTATGCCATTAAATTGTAGCTTATGTGAAACGTTGGTACTTTCAACACAGCGCCATCTGTTAGAATTCTGTCAAAACTCAAATAATAAACAAATAATTTGCAATAAAATGATATTGCGGGTATAAATTGAGATGTAAGCTATCCTATCTTTTAAGTTGGATCAAACTACACACGGTGTGCAAATTTGATTGATATCGGTTCAGTAGTTTAGGAGTCCATAGCGGACAAACAGCGTGACACGTAATTTATATATACATATATTATTAAGATATTATGAAACCTTTGCGATTGTTTATTATTAATGTATAATTATGTTGAAAGATATTATAGGTAGTAATAGATTACAGTATATCTAGTACTAATAGAATATACATATATCCTGATTTGACTCTTTGTGATAATTACATAAATAAATGACTATCGCCCTTAGTCTAAACCTATTCAAAAATATTTGAGAACCTCAAAAGTAATATTTCCGAATGTAATAAGCATTTTTCTGTAGCAGTGAAGGTAGCGAGATTTGATTTATCGCAGTGGGCCAAGCCAGGCGCTGACCGCCGCCCAAAGCCGCCCAACGGCCGCCCAACGCGTTATTAAACTTTTCCCCATATTAAACATTCCGGAGACGAATACATTTTATTGTTGCCTCGGTCCGACATCAGAAGCCTCTACAAAGCGAAACTCAAAGACGGCAAATGCGAAATAAATTGAAAGCAATTTGATATTGCGTTGTAAGTAATAGCCGTCAGAACCTACCCCGTTCTTCATGGATCTAATTATTTTGAAAACTTATTTCAACATTGCTCGTGAAATTTTTAGGGGATTGACTCTGTGACGTATACTGCAGTGCAGAAATATTAGACACAATTGTTTGGCACAAACGTATAGAGTTAATCATAAATCCATTTCTTATTAGCAAAATTGGCTTTTGTTGCGCCAAGTAACCCTATGGCATATATCATATTTAAAAAGCGTACTCATCAAATTTAAATATTAATCTGCAATTGAATAGTTTGTGTTACTTTTGTATAATTTTGCCAAGTAAAATAGTTACCAAATATTCTAAAAACTAATAAGCATATTTTAAATGTTGTTAATAGTTAATGTTAAGTCTAATTATTAACTAATTATATCAGGTTGTAAAAAAATGGATAAAATTTGCTGAAAAGCTTTAAGATTCTCTATGTAATCTAATTTTAAAAATAATCATGTTGCGATCTCACATTAGTCATCTGCAATCTGAAAATCCTTAACAAGCCGTATATAAATTAATATACTTAATCGATTTTTTATCTCTTCAAACTATGACAACGTTGAGATAAATATCGCGCAAACTATAAATGTCATTTGTCAAAATCCTATGACAGATTGTCATGACAGTTGGCGCCTTAATCCCAAAGCGACGATACACATAACACAGTTAACAAGCACTAGACTTGACCAATTGATTTACGAAGTCTATTTACTTACAAATTGGACTGTATAAAGTAAATATAACAGTTAAATAAAGTATAAAAGTATCTTGTTACATAAATTATCGGAGGCTAGCTAAGTGATTGGATGGGACCATTATCTTGTATCTGCTGATTTCTTCGTAGCTTCGGATGAAAGCAATAGATGTAAATGGGCTATATCTGTCTCATGTTTTACAAATATTTAATATTTTCATGTTATTAACGAAATATGCGAGCTATTTACCGAATTAAATTATGAATAATTTTAGTTTAGTGCCTCTCAATCGTGAGAATTTATTTGAAACGGCACATTTCTCTTTTGACGATTTTCTATTATTTTATTAATCGTACGGTGAAGGCAACATCGGCGAGTCTTGACTCAGTGGTAAATTTCACACTCGATACTTAGTTTAATCAAATTATTTATTAATATTGGTACAAAGCATTTATAAAATAAATGAATATCTAAATTTTACATTCATTTAATTTATAGCCTTAGTAAGGAAGATAAAAACACAAAAAATGTTATATAACCTACCACTTAGTATCTTACAAAAGAATATTGTTAGAAGAGTTACGAGGTAAACTTATGGCTTCCATTCACTAGAAGATAATGTTTGCAGGCAATCACATAAGTGGATCAAATAGCTGTAGTCCATTTGGATAATGAACTAGACTTCGTTTTAGATATTTTTATTGTAGCCATTACTTATACGTAGCCAATATTTAACGAAGTTTTTCGATTATTTTAAATCGAAATTGCTTTTAAGCTCGTTTAATATTATTATTTATTTTTATTACAGCCGCAATAAGATTGTTTAGTGTATTTTGACGCCGATCAACATTGAGTTACAGACCTCAGAAATGATCATGCTGTGTATCTGAAAGTCTTATTTCATTTGTTTTTATTGTTTAAACATCATAAATTAACTATATGTACCGAAATACCAAAAACGACTAAGGGTTTTGATGCCTGAAGGGCCACACAACAGTACCTATATTTAAATCTAAGAGCCTTGCACTACACTGTCGTGTACTAAATTTAAATACATATATATTAAATATAATAATAATATATAGATACTAGGTGACAAGCGTTGTTTTGCCATGTACATAATATTATATATTATTTCTTGGAAATTTTTTTTTAGTTCAATAAAAATAACTATCTATGATAATAAAAAATAGAGGTGGATCGTAGAGGGGTGAAAACTATTTACAAAAAAAACTTTCAGAAAAAGAAAAAAAAATTATGGGTGTGGACGTGTGGTGTGGTGTTTTTTTTATTACTTAGGGGTTTTAAATATAGATAGTAGCCGATTCTCAGACTTACTGAATATGCATAAAAATTACATAAGAATCGGTCGGGTCGTTTCGGAGGAGTATGGGAACGAACATTGTGACACGAGAATTTTATATATTAGATGTGGACGCGTTTCGAATACGCCTGCGAAGTCTTCTGGTACATGGACTCTACTACAATACCAGCGTACAACGGTGGCGTGATATATTTACTTTTTATGTTTGTAATATGTTGTTTGTTTCTCATGTAAGTGGCATGTATGTTTTTAATGAGACTTATTTTAACATAAATTTTAGTACAGGCTATTTTTATGTTAAAATTTGAAGGTAAACAATTAACAAATCGCAATATATGCGGTTCTCCGGGTACCGCTTGTAACTTGCAGGAAATGCGTCCCAACGCCTAAGTGTACCAGGCTTCGAAACCTACTATTTTCTTCACATAGACCAATTACAACTACTTTTGGATAAGGTAACCAAGCTATACAAACGGACAGTTGAAACTGCAGACATCCAGCGTTATTTTGTATTTCAGCACTCGAAAACTTTTAATAGTTAACTCAGACATTGAAGTATGTTTCCTGTGATAAAACCTATATGTCGATAACATACGTAATTATACGATAATCAACTTTATGTTGATACAATAGTGTTTAGTTTTCATTGGCATCATTTTGACAATTCTTAAACGATCACGGCACTGTGCACGCAAATTGTCGACATACAAATCCCATTTCCTTTACATCAGTTTCACAAGTAATTTAATCCTCATATCCATTGCTATAGAATTG